GTACAATCCAAGCTATTTCACATTGCAAATGGGAGTGAAAATTGTTATAATCTTTGGGGAGAGCAATTTAGCAATATCTATCAGAATTACAGTACCTTTGACTTACAATTTCCATGTCTAGGAATTTATCATACAGATAGAGTTGCACATGTACAAGATGATGTGTGTACAAGACTATGCGTTGCAGCAAAAGACAGGAAATACCATAGATGTCCAATGAAGGGGGACTGATTTATCAAGTATGATACATCCACAAAATGACCTATACCAGGCAGGTTAAAACAATAAAGAAGCTCTATGTACTGATGAGGAAAGATCTCTAAGACACACATTGTATTGAACCTTGATTTTTTTCAAAATGAATTGTTCGCTGCTATCTTTATTTAGAGGAAATATCTGTATGTTCCTGTGTAGGCATAAAGGATCTCTAGAAGGACAGATAAGCAACTGGTAATACTGGTTGCTCATGAAGAGTAAATGGGTGGCTGGGGGATGGGTGAATGAGAGGCTTATCCCCTTTTTGTATCTTTTTTATTTCGAATCATTACTTATAAAACCAAAATTTCTTTGCCATCTGACATTATTATTATAGTGATGTTATGGAACAGGGTGCCCTAAACCAGCAGTTACAACCTACCTGGCTGACGGTTAGAATCATGGGGGTCTTTTTAAAAATAAAGAGTCCAGATTTTGATTCAATATATCTGGGGTAAGGCTTAGGAAATTGGTATTTTGGGAAAGGTCCCTAGGAAATTTTGATTATTAGTGGGTTTGGCAAACTCTTAGGATCTATTCTCAGGAATTAATACTGGATGTATGTGTGTGTCTTATATATATATATATATATATATATATTTTTTTTTTTATAGATTGGCAGCTAGAAATTGAAATGGCAATAGGTGGATGGCTTTTTTTTCCCTAGAAACTTGAAGAAGGGCTAATTTAGGCAAATAAACAACCTTATCTAGGTAAACAAGAGGCTAGAAATAGAGATCCTGACAGATGATTTTATGCTGAGCCTCTGTAAAAGCTCAGTCGACTTCCTAATCTGAGTCTTTGCTAGGACTACTTACTGCTTTTTAGTTTCTCGTTGTTTACATGTTTTAAAGAAGGACTTATCAGAAATTGATAGTTTATATATCTGAGTTTTACAGCTCAGATTTTTTAGTTTCTCGTCGTTACATGTTTTAAAGAAGGACTTACCAGAAATTGATAGTTTATATGTCTGAGTTTTACAGCTCAGATTTGTTATTAAAATCTCTGCAGACTTTTAAGATAGGGGAAACCTTGCCAACTGAGCTTACATGTGACTCAGCAAGTTTCTGGTTGAGATGGCTCTGTCAGGCTCAAGGTGCAGAGGGTGTCTGTTGTATATACACAGAAAGCTCACAGATAGCTATTTTGTTTTTGAAAATAGCCTCAGGTACTTAGGAATAACCCAGGTCTTTCTAAAAGGAAGCTTTTTCCAAAGTATGTTTTTAAGGTTGAATATCCATTCCAGAAACATTTCTTTCTTTAAAGATTTTGTTTTTGGGAGTCCTGGGTGGCTCAATTAAGCATCTGCTTTTGGCTCAAGTCATGATTCCAGGGTCCTGGGATCAAGCCCCCCCCCCCCCCCCGGCTTGTTTTCTCTCTCTCTCTCAAATAAATAAATCAATAATTTAAAAAAATAAATATTTTGTTTTTAAGTAATATCCACACCCACCGTGGGGCTTGAATTGACAACCCCAAGATCCTAGAGTCCCATGCTCCACCAACTGAGCCAGCCAGGCGCCGAGAAACATTTTTTTTCTTTGAAGAAAGTATTTTACATAGTTTTAGAAAAACACTACAATGACTTAAAAGTTTAACAAACTTTACAATGGACATAGTAGGAATAAATAGTTTAAATAAGGTTCTTTTTGTCTTTTTATTAACTCCTAAGTCAAACTGTTTATAGTTAATGATTATAAGACATTTCCTTTGTAAGAGGCTGTGAAGAATATAAACTTACTGCTCTTAATCTATGCCTTTAAACATCTGGTTTTAATTGTAAAATATCAGCTATAATGTGAGAATTTGTATAGTGCAATAAGAATGCCACTAGATCTCAAGAATCGAAGAAGTTCGTGTAGAGCGTGTATGGGCTAATGTACTTGCTTCCTTTTCTTGGGCAGATCCAGAGTCATTGGGAGTGCAGTTGAAGTCCAAACTAGCATCATTTCCACTGCCTCGGCTTTAGTGTTTTGTCAGAATGCCAGTCCCCTTGATTCCCAGCTGCACGAGAAATGGGATCCTTGCATAGAACCACAGGCTAATTTGGTCATCCTGTATGGAAAAAGTCCAGTGGTGATTAAGTGTTTGTCCCAGTTCAATAGCTTCAGTCAGATGGTATCTTTTAGGCTCCTAGATATATTTAGTGAACAAAAGAAAAAAGCCTGGCCTGCCTTAGATTTTTCTGATAGAGGTGCCCTGAATAAATGTTAGCTAATTGGGGTCATTTCTTTCCCAACTGAAAGCTTAAGGGTTAGATTTTCTGGCACAGAATACAGCATCTAAAATAGTTCATCAGACAGGTGCAGGAATAAGATAATCTGAGTGTTGCTTATCATCCTTACTCTTTAGGCATGGGGGGGGGCATTTCAGACTTAATGAAAAGTTGGCAAGTACTGTACAAAGAACACTTATGTACCCTTTGACCAGAATCACCTGTTGATAGCGATTGGCATTTCACTCAATTCACTTGATTATTTGCGTGCATGTTTTCTCCCTCTCCCTCCCTCTCACTATATATATGTATGTATATATTTTTCCTCAACCATTTAAGAGTAAGTTGCTTAAATCATGCCTTTTACCATACTTAAGTAGGTATTTACTAAGAATAAGTAACATTTTCTTACACAACTATGGTTTAGTTATCAAGCCTAGAAAATATAACCTTGACTCAATAATTTAATCTGCCAGCCGTATTTCATTTTTATCCATTGATCCAACATTGCCCCTGTATTTTTTTTCTTTCCCCCTTTCCTGTACAGGATCCTCTCTAGAATCATGGACTTTATTTTTTAGTCAGAGCTCCTTAGTCTCCTTTACTCTAGAACAATTCTTAGCATTTGTCTTTTATGACACTGACAATCTTACCACCTTTCGTTTAATACAGGGTTCCTCATTCCTCATTTTGGGTTTGCCTGATGTTTCTTCATGATTACATTCTGGTACTTGTCTTCAGTTGTATCCCTAGGATATCACATCTATAGGCAGGCACACAGGGTCCATCTGCCCTTCATTGGTGATGATAATTTTGATCATCCATCAAGGTGTTGTCCAATTTCCCCATACTTGTTCTTTTTGAGTATCTTTCCTCAGCTACCAAGAAAAGCCCATTGACTTACATGCTTATCTAATAAGACTTTGAACACAGCATATGAATCCAAGATCTCGGGGCACTTGGGTGGCTCAGTCGGTTAAGTGTCTGCCTTCAGTTCAGGTCATGATCCCGGGTCCTGGGATGTAGTCCCTGCATCGAGCTCCTTGCTCAGCGGGGAGTCTGCTTCTCTCTCTTCACCTGCCCCTCCACCCTGCTCATGCTCTCTCTCTCAGACAAATAAATAAAATCTTAAACCCAAAAAACAAAGAAAGGAATCCAAGATCTCAAAGCCCTTTGTAAGGACTTAATCAGTTTTCACAGTGACACTGAGAAATAATTCTCCTAATCCTTTACCACTTTTCTTTGTATATCACATCCTAATATAACTTTGGGGAGATGATTGTTGAAAGAATTGAGAAGTAAAAGGTAGGGCAAAGAATTTTACCTCTATTGTCAAATGCTATGTTTTCCCCCTTTATCCCTTTTATCTCTTAGGCCTCTGCTGGTAGAGTGAAGCGTGTAAAAAGGGACAAAAAGAAGAGTAATACAATAGAGTTTAGAGTGGCAGACAGAATTACTAATTGCCTGCCCCGGTATCTGTTACTATCTGTAATAATAGAACCCCTAATTTTTTTTATCTGCCTTCATGTCCATCTGCAATGAATAGCACATTTGCCAGAGCTTCTGGTTAGGTGAGGCCATGTAGCAGGAGAGAACATGCCTTTTTTCCCTGCCCTTTTTCTTTGCTGTTGAGAAGAAATGGATATGACACTTGTGAAATGCAAGCAGCATCTTGGACCTCAGACTGAGAGCTAAAGCTAGTGTTAGAAAGAAGGAGCCTAGGTCCCTAATGATTGAAGAGCTGCCGTGAATGGCCTACCTTAGATTTACTTTACATGAAAGGGATATACACATTTTTTAATTGAAGCTATGTAGTAATTTTTGAGTTTTCTGTTCTATGCATCTGTTCTATGCAGCTGAATCTAACCTGACTGATACAAAAGAGATGCTCAAGGAGAAGAGTAATAATTGATTAATTTGTCCTGCTAGAAGTCAGACAGTTAAAAATACCACTGTTGCATGGTACATGGCCATGAAGTAAGTAAGGGACATAAAGAGTGCCAGATTAGGGAAGACTCTTGTGGGGATGACATGAGGGGGCGGGGGTGGGGGGGCAGCCATGCAGATGTCTAGGGCACAAGCTTTCCAGGTAGAGGGTATAGCAAGTACAAAGACCCTGAAGTGGAAGTCTACTTAATGTATTGGAGGAATAGCAGGGAGGCCAGTGTAGTTCAGAACTGTTGAGAGTATTGGGTATGTTCATTGTCTTGATTGTGGTGGTGATTTCACAAGTGTATTTATGTCAAAACTTTAAAAACTGTGTACTTTGGGGGCGCCTGGGTGGCTCAGTCGTTAAACGTCTGCCTTCGGCTCAGGTCATGATCCCAGGGTCCTGGGATCGAGTCCCACATCGGGCTCCCGGCTCGGCGGGAAGCCTGCTTCTCCCTCTCCCACTCTCCCTGCTTGTGTTCCCTCTCTCGCTGTTTCTCTCTCTGTTAAAAAATAAATAAAATCTTTTTTTTTTTTTAAGATTTTATTTATTTATTTATTTGAGACAGAGAGAATGAGAGACAGAGAGCATGAGAGGGAGGAGGGTCAGAGGGAGAAGCAGACTCCCTGCCGAGCAGGGAGCCCGATGTGGGACTCGATCCCGGGACTCCAGGATCATGACCTGAGCCGAAGGCAGTCGCTTAACCAACTGAGCCACCCAGGCGCCCAAAAAATAAATAAAATCTTAAAAAAAAAAAAAAGAAAAAGAAAAACTGTGTACTTTGTTGTATGTCAATCATACCTCAAAGTCATTTTAAAACATCATAGTTACCACAAACTAGAAAACTACTCTCAAGAATCCTTATAGTCAATAATAACCTATCTTTGCTATTTAGCACTCTATAAAATCAATTATCACGATGAAGAACAGGTTAGTAGTTGCCAGGGGTTAGGGTGTTGGGAGGCGATCAGGAAGTTACTGTAAAGAGGTAGCATGAGGGAGCTTTTTGTAGCGATGGAGCAGTCTGTATTTTTTTTTTTTTAATATTTCTTTTTTTTTTTATTATTTTTTTTTATTTTATTTTTTAAAGATTTTATTTATTATTTATTTGAGACAGAGAGAATGAGAGACAGAGAGCATGAGAGGGAGGAGGGTCAGAGGGAGAAGCAGACTCCCTGCCGAGCAGGGAGCCCGATGCGGGACTCGATCCCGGGACTCCAGGATCATGACCTGAGCTGAAGGCAGTCGCTTAACCAACTGAGCCACCCAGGCGCCCAATATTTCTTTAAAAAAAAATTTTTTTAAGATTTTATTTATTTATTTGACAGAGACACAGCGAGAGAGAGAGGGAACACAAGCAGGGGGAGTGGGAGAGGGAGAAGCTCACCTTCTTGCTGAGCAGGGAGCCTGATGCGGGGCTCGATCCCAGGACCCCAGGATCATGACCTGAGCCAAAGGCAGACGCTTAACGACTGAGCCACCCAGGAGCCCCTGGAGTAGTCTGTATCTTTTTTTTTTTTTTTAAAGATTTTATTTATTTATTTGAGACAGAGAGAATGAGAGAGACAGAGAGCACATGAGAGGGGGGAGGGTCAGAGGGAGAAGCAGGCTCCCTGCCGAGCAGGGAGCCCGATGCGGGACTCGATCCAGGGACTCCAGGATCATGACCTGAGCCGAAGGCAGTCGCCCAACCGACTGAGCCACCCAGGCGCCCCTGGAGTAGTCTGTATCTTGATTGTGGTAGTGCTTATACAAGTCTACACGTGATAAAATGACGGAATTATACACACACACCAATATAAGCGTACCTCGTTTTATTGTGCTTTGCAGATACTGTGTTTTTTACAAATCGAAAGTCTGTGACCACTCTGTTGAGCAAGTCTTTTGGAGCCATTTTTTTCAACAGTATTTGCTCACTTTGTGTCTCTCTGTCACATTTTTTAATTCTCTCAATATTTAAAACTTTGTCATTATTGTAATATTTGAATTGCTGCAAATCTCGTAAAATTTTAACAGATGAGGAGTTGCTTCTTATTGATGAGCAAAGAAAGTATTTTCTTAGATGGAACGTACTCCTGGTGAAGGTGCTGTGGAGATTGTTGAAATGACAACAAAAGATTAGAATATACGTAAAGTTAGTTGTTAAAGTAACAGCAGGGTTTGAGAAAACTGACTCCAATTTTGAAAGTTTTGTGGGTAAAACACTATCAAACAGCATTGCCTGCCACAGAGAAATCGTTTGTGAAAGGAAGAGTTAATCCATGTGATAAATTTCATTGTTGTCTTATTTTAAGAAATTGCCCAAGTAACCCCAGTCTTCAACAACCACCACCCTGATCAGTCGGCAGCCATCAACATTGAGGTAAGACTTTCCACCATAAAAAAGATTTTAACTGTCTGAAAGGCCAGATGATGGGTAGCAATTTTTATCAGTAAGGTATTGTTTTTTGTTTGTTTAAGTAGGCTCTAAGCCCAACATGGGGCTTGAACTCACAACCCTGAGATTGAGAGTCACATGCTCTACCAACTGAGCCAGCCAGACACCCCGGCAGTAAGGTATTTTTTAATTAATGTATGTACATTTTTTCTTTAGACATAATGCTATCACACAATAGACTACAGGGTGGCATAAACTTAACTTACATGTGCTGAGAAACCAAGAAACTTATTTGACTTGTCTTATTGTGATACTTGCTTTATTGTGGTGGTCTGGAACCAAACTCAACCTGCAATATCTCTGAGATGTGGCTGTATCCATTTCCTGGGTTTTATGTCAGTACTCTAGTTACGTAACATGTAACTCTTGCAGGGAAGTGGGTACACAGAACTTCTCTGTATTATCCTAACAACTTCCTGTGAATCTATAATTAATTCAAAATAAAACATTAGAAACATTAAAAAAAAACCCATATAGACTTATGCTTCCAGAAAGATGGAAGAGATGTGCTTTTCCCTATTCCTACTGCGAAGTACAGCTAAAACCCTGGAATGAATACTTTGTGTGTGTGTGTGTGTGTGTGTGTGTGTATAAAACAAGCATAAGAAGACTGAAAGGTGAAAAAAAGACAGATCTTCTAGAGAACTGGGGACCCAAGGAACAATATAATGAGCTCTGGATTTTCTTTTTGCTACATATATCCCAGACTTAGAGCTGAAGAAGCTGGCAACCAAGAAACAGTGATGGGCCACAGACAAAAAACACCCCAAGAGGGCACCTAGGTGGCTCAGTTGGTTAAGCGACTGCCTTCAGCTCAGGTCATGATCCTGGAGTCCCGAGATCAAGTCCTGCATCAGGCTGTCTACTCAGTGGGGAGTCTGCTTCTCCCTCTGACCCTCCTCCCTCTCATGTTCTCTGTCTGTCATTCTCTCTCTCAAATAGATAAAGTCTTTAAAAAATAAAATAAATAAAAACACCCCAAGAAAAGCCTGCTTTCTGTAGCCAAAGGACTAGAAAAGAGGTTTGCAAGACAAAACTTTTAGACAGTAACCACTCTACTCCAGCCAAACATCACAGAAAAAAACTCAGGCCCTACTCCCACCCATGCCACAAAGGTTAAGGGGGGAGCTTATTCTTCCACCCTTGTGAGGCTGTATCGAAATGCTCCAAACTCCTGCTGGGGTGGTATCAGAGAAAGCCAAATAGGGAGCTGAGATTATCACCCCCATGAGGCAATAACAAGGCACTGAACCCTCCTGACAGAGGTAGTGTCTGAAGAGAACTAATCAGAACTTTAAGGGCTTTCAACAATGTCCAGTGATTATGAGACTGCATATACCCCCATGTCAGTGGAGTCCTCGTGAGGAGCATTAATAGGCAGTCTGCTACACTCTGCTAAGGAAGTATTAGTTGAGCCCTACTGGAGAGCCAGAACTCATGTCTGAGCCTAGCAGTAATGAGGAACCCTTCCCTTGGGTGTCCAAGGAGGCTAATTGTAAACCTGGACTTCTGTCTTCACCTGACAGTAACAAGAGGCCCCCCCGCCTTTTGCCAGACCAGTGGAAGAAAAAGGAAAACAGAAGGTTTAAGTAAGATCCCAAGTCTGAGAACATAATATGAAAATGTCCAGGTTTCAATCTGCTCAGGGGGGAGTCTGCTTCTCCCTCTCCTGCTCCAGCTCCCCCTGTTTGTGCTCTCTCTCTCTAATTAATAAAAACAATCTTTTTTAAAAAATAAAAAAAATGATACCTATGGGAGGGAAAAGAGACCTGAAGGGAGGTAAAGTTTCTGCACTTCACTTGAACTGGCAACTGGCAAAACCGTAGACAGTGATAAGACTATGATAAAAATAATATAATAACTAGAGAAACAACTAAAAGCTATGCATCTAAAAGCTATCAAAGCTATACAAAAGCACTATAGATTCCTTATTTCAAAACTTCTGGGGCGCCTGGGTGGCTCAGTCAGTTGAGCATCTGCCTTCAGCTCATGTCATGATCCCAGGGTCCTGGGATTGAGTCCCGCATCAGGCTCCCCGCTCAGCGGGGAGCCTGCTTCTTCCTCTCTCTTTGTCCCTCCCCCTGCTTGTGCTTGCTCTCACTCTCTCTGTCAAATAAATCTTTAAAAAAAAAAATTTTTTTTTAAAGATTTTATTTATTTGACAGAGAGACACAGAGAGAGCCACCCAGGTGCCCCTAAAAAATAACTTCTTACAAAGCTACACTAATCAAGACACTGTGTTACTGATGTAAGGACAGACACAGATGAATGGAATAAAATTGAGAATCCAGAAATGGACCATTGCTTTTATCAGCAATTACATTCCAATGGGGAAAGATTCTTTTCAACAAATGATGCTAAGACAACTAGATATCCACATGACAGATCAGTGAAGTCAGTCCCATTCATCATACCATACACAAAAATGAACTCAACATGGATAAACTTCCTAAATGTCAGAGCTAAAACTGTACAACTTTTAGATGAAAACAGATGTAAATCTTCCTGACTTTGGGTTACACAACTATTCCTTAGGTGTATCACCATAAACACAGTAACAAAAGAAAAAAAGAAACTGTATATCATCAAAATTAAAAATGTTTGTGCTTCAGGGGGCCCGGCTGGCTCAGTCAGAAGAGCATGTGACTCTCGGACTCAGGGCCGTGAGTTTGAGCCCCACGTTGGGTGTAGGGATTACTTAAATAAATAAACTAAAAAAAAGATTTTTGTGTGTGTGCTTTAAAGGACACATAATCAGGAAAATGAAAAAGACAACTCACAGAATTGGAGAAAATTTTTGCAAATAATATATCTGAGAAGGGACTTGTATCTAGAATATAAAATTGCAACTCAATGATAAAAAGACAACCCAGTTTTAAAAGGGACCTGAAAAGACATTTCTCCAAAGAATATATACAAATGGCCTATAATGAAAAGGTGCTCAACATCATTAGCCATTAAGGAAATATACACAGATTCCTAAGCAAATATTAACAAATCGAATTCAGCAATATATGAAAGTAATTATATACCATGCCCAAATGAGGTTTTAAGGATGCAGGCTTTTCAGTATTTGAAAATCCATCAGTGTAAACAGGCTGTTAAACAGGCTGAAGAAAAATCACATGAACATGACATTCAATGCAGAAAAAGCTTTTGAAAAAAACAAATTCTTGATAAAACTCTCAAGAATAGAGGAGAACTTCCTCTACCTGATAAAGAGCATCCACACACACAAAAAAATCTACAAATAACTTTATACTTAAGGGTGAAGAATGAAATCCAATCAGTTGCTTTTCCTGTAAGATTGAGAACAGAGTATATCTACTGTCGCTGTAACAGCACTCCAGCTGGTCTTAAGGGTTAACTTGCTTCCAGCTTATGCACTCCTTGCTTGCTGACCAAAGTCCCTTGGTCTGTAGTAGACCTGACATAATCTTGAGATTTGCAGACCACTGGCCTTGAGGAGTGAAGGACCCAACTTTCCCGGAAGATAAAGTCTGACTAAATTTGAAAACAGCTTTATTTATTCATTCGCTAACGCCAGCAAATCCGTTCAGAGTCATGTCGACAAGAGACTAACCTAACCACCTGGGCACCTTCTTCTCCTGCACATAGTCCCCCTCCCTTTACCCATGACTTCTCCTTTAAAGCCTTCCAGCTCCCCTGGGTGTGGAAGATGGTCTTTGAGATGTTAGTTCACCATCTTTCCAGGTTGCCGGCTTCCTGAATAAAGCAACCTTTCGTTTCCCACCATCACTTGTCTCTTGAGTATTGATTTTCAAGTGGTGAGCAGCTGAACCTGAGTTCAGAACCAGTTCTCAATTTGTCACCAGTCCTATTACACAAAGTGCCAGGAATTGTAGCCTGCTCAATAAGTCAAGAAAAGGAAATAAAAGGCTTTCATATCAGAAAGGAAGAAATGTTCTATAGTATTAATGTCAATATTCTGGTTGGGATATCATGGTAAAGTTTTGCAACATGTTGCCCTTGGGGGGAACTGAGTAAAGGATACAAGCATCTCTGTATTATTTCTTACAACTGAAAGTTGATATAGAATCATCTCAAAAAAAATTTTTTTTTTAAAGATTTTATTTATTTGACAGAGAGAGACAAATGTATGGATTGGGCCCAAATTCCTTTTATTTTTATATGCTTTTCATTCTTAGCATTGCAGGGAAAGAAAAGTATGAATTAGAGTTAGAATTGAATAGAATAGAATAGAAATGAATTAGAGTATGAATTCTCCTATTCCATGGTCCCTAGAGGGGCCATATTTTTTTAGAACATGACTTTTTGCTTCCAACAAAAATAACTCATTCACTAGGCCAGATTGCTGGAATAGAGTTAGCTGGTGCTCAACAAATAATGAGTGAATGTGTGAGGGAAACTGAGAAATGGACGAGGCACTGCGCAGTTATCTAGCGAATTCCTGTAAAAAATTACAAAGATGCCGAGTTCCCCCTATGCTTTAAAACCACTGCAGGAACCTCACACATTCCAGAGGGAAAGCCTTTCTGACTTCCCTGGGTGGAGAGCCAGGCCGCAGAGCGGCGGGAAAGAGCCCGGAGCTCGCCCGCCCGCCCGCCGCCGCGGCGCGTGCGCGCGCCCGCCCCGCCCCGCCCCTCGTCGCGCGCGGCCCTCTCACTGCGCGCGACCCGGGCAGCCGCGAGCGGGGCTGGTGGCGCGCCGTCTCCGCGTCGCTCGGGGCTGGCGGCCGCGGCGCCGCGCGGGTGGGTGGGATCGTGGCGGAGCTCCCGGCGCCGGGGCAGGGGCGGGAGAGCGCCATGGCGGCGGCGGTGGCGGCGGCATCCGGTCCCCGCGCCGCGGCGAGGTGAGGCACCGCCTCTTCACGACTGAGGAGGCCACAGCTGCCCGCCTGCCTTCCACGCGGGCCGCGGCTCCGGCATGGCCGGGATCATTAAGAAGCAGATCCTGAAGCACCTGTCCCGGTGAGAGCGCCAGCGCCGTCCCCCAGCCGTCCCGGGGCCCTTCCTAACCCCCTTCGACCCTCCTCCGGTACGCCCTCCTTCGGGCCGGTCCCCTCCTTAGCCCGAGCCGGTACTCCGTGGCGGCCCTCGCCTCAACTCGAGCTGGACAGTCTCCGGCCCGCTCGGCCGGCCCCGACCGTTGTCACCACTCTGTTCTTCCCTCGCCCTGGGCCCTCCGGTGCAGGGTTCTTCTGCCCTTGCGGGGGTGCCCCGAGCTTTCCTCTCGACCCTCGCAGCCTCCTTAAGCCTCCCGACCCTCAAGGATCTCCTGGCCGGCTGCCCCCGGCTCAGTTCCCACTCAGTTCCCACACCGCCGAGCAGGTCACCCCGTCCTCGCTTGCACGCCCCCCCCGGCCCCCACTTAGTTTTCACTCCTTATTCCAGACAGGTGTTGGGGATGCCTTAATAGTTTTAGCCAGCCTTTGTATCGCAAGGGGAGAGCGATTCTAGCCTTGTACGCACTAGTGGTTTTCCGGAGGTAGGAGTAGGGGGTGGAGCCAGTCAACGGGGGACACGGGGGCCTTGCACTACTGTATCTTTCCTGGTCTTCTCATTGCCTGGATGAGTGGAAGGTGAGACACTTTTGCTGCCACTGTATCCCTTTTTCTGGCTGACACTTTGGCTTATTTACTGTTATGATTTTAGACTTGAATTAGTAATTAGATTCAGATACATCTGTTGGTTAATCACCATGTTATAAAAGTAAAAGCAGATTGGAGGCTGGAGCTGGAAGGTGCCTTTAGACTCTTTACTTGGATTATCTTCCTAATAAATTCTTTCTCAGGTAGTATTAATCTAGGTTTTCCATGAGTTTGGTTGTTCTGTATAAAGATTTAAAAGTAGGACTAATGATTGTGAAATGGTATAGAAAATTTAACTAAAGGAAAACTATTAATTTGAATAAACATAGAATCAGAGAATTTTAGGATTTAAAGATGATCTCACCTAATATAGCATTGTGTTTAAGAGCCCAGGCTCTTGGGGCGCCTGGGTGGCTCAGTTGGTTAAGCAACTGCCTTCGGCTCGGGTCATGATCCCAGGGTCCTGGGATCGAGTCCCGCATCGGGCTCCCTGCTCGGCAGGGAGTCTGCTTCGTCCTTTGACCCTATCCCCTCTCATGTGTTCTCTCTCTCTTATTCTCTCTCTCTCAAATAAATAAAATCTTTAAAAAAAAAAAAATTAAAAAAAAAAAAAAAAAAAAGAGCCCAGGCTCTTTCTGGTTTTCTTTCTTCAACTGTAAAATGAGGATAGTAATAGTAATCTAACTCAAAGGGTTATTTTTTTTTTTTTTAAGATTTTATTTATTTATTTGAGAGACAGAGCATGAGTGGAGGGGAGGGCTAGAGGGAGAAGGAGAAGCAGACTCCCCACTGAGCAGGGAGCCCCACCCGGGACTATATCCCAGAATCCTGAGATCATAACCTGAGCCGAAGGCAGATGCTTTACCTACTGAGCCACCCAGGTGCCCCTCAAAGGGTTATTTTGAGGGTTACACGAATAATTATATGTAAAGACAGCACAGTGCCTAGCACATACTAAGTGTTCAATAAAATATGAGCTATAGTTATCTTTTGGGCCACGGCACAAATTGTGTGACAATTTGATATAAGCCATAGCCTTCTTCAGAAAAATCTGCATATGCAACCAGTCATTTTTATGTAAATTCTGGGGGAGAATTATGAACCCCAAAAGCACATGCCTGAATCCTGCAAGGCCTCTTGAAACTAAGTGAATAACCCCTGACTGTTCCACTCTCTTATTTTATGTCTGAGGAAACTAAAGCCTAGAGAGGATAAACAACTTGCCCAAGTTGCAATGGAAGGTAGGGTAGTGGAATAGAACCCAGCTTGCTTGCTTGCTTACTTGCTTGCTTTTTTAAAGATTTTATTATTTTTAAGTAATCTCTGTACCCAACCCAGGGATCAAACTCACAGCCCTGAAATCAAGAGTTACTTGTTCCACTGACTGAACCAATCAGGCACCCCTAGAACCCAGCTTTCTAATTCTGATGTTTTCCCTTTAGTGCACACATATTCTGTGCACTCTCTATGAGGATAGAGTTTTTAAAGAAAAATTTTCATAATATATGCTGACATATTCAGTGGATCCTTAGTGAACAGAGTATCTCTTTTAGATGGAGTAGGAATAGGTATGACAGACATTGGGAGAAATTTCTGATTTCTTCAGTGTTGTGTGGTTGACTGAGGAGGAAGAGGAAGAGAAGTTTATTTGGGGCTGCAAAATCAGGGTTCCAGGAAAAGGTCGTAGGACATGGATCTGGTTGAGGGACAAGTCAGACTTGGGCCTTTCTATTTGTTTATCCTGGAAAAATGGCCCAGTCATGTATGACATTTGTATCTCTGTATGGTCTCTGATACCTACAGAAGCTGGCCTGCCTGGAGGGGAATTACAGCTTCTGTGGCTTGCCAAATCTCATGGGGAAAGAGAGGATAAGGTATACTGAGTTACTATGTTAAATAAACATTTGTAGGTGTTTAATAATTATTTGTTGATGATGACAGTGCCACTTGACCTGGAGGAGAGTATCTTAACAGCAGGAAGGATATCCCAGTGACTCTCATCTTTAATTTTGGTCATGAAGTTTCGGATATTAATACTATTTTGTTAGAATGCATCTTCTTTATTCGTATTTTGGTAAACAAGATTTGAGGGAGGTGGTCTTCAAGATATTTTCGTTAAGTGCCTGCCCTAGGCCAGGCCCTGATCTGGGCACTGGGGATTCAGCAGGGAAGAAATGTAAACATCTTCTAAGGGCTTTAACCTATGGTTTGGATGATTGCTGTGTAGTACAAATAGCTTCAATGCACAGTAGTCATTTAAATAGACCCAAGAGAAGACCTTTACTTAGAAACAAAAGTAATGATTTAAAAAATATCCAAAATTGATTTTTTACTACATTAGATTATTCTTGTTTTAGCTCACCTTAGTTAATGACCTTTCGTAAAAAGAAATATGATTGATCACCAAGTAAGTCAAGGGACTATGGCTCAGGGAAAGAGCATGGTCGAGCCAGAGAAGTCTGATTCGCCTTCCAGCTCTGTCACGTAATGAACAGGTCAGCCTTTCTGAGCCTTAGTTTTGTTATCTGTAAAAGGTGAGAATAAGGAAGAATACCATGTACCTAGCAGAATTTTTTGAGGATTGGGGATAAAGTATTTATTATAATGCCTAGCGTGGAAGTAGGTAGCTATGGAAGTAGGTAGCTATGTAAAGAGTAACTATTATACATGAGCAGAGAAGTTAGGGATGCTACCCTGGTATGGATGACAGTAACCCACCTGACTGGCTCTTTTATTTTATTTATTTATTTTTTAAAAAAGATTTTATCCATTTATTTGACAGAGAGAGCACAAACAGGGGGAGCGGCAGGCAGAGGGAGAGGGAGAAGCAGGCTCCCCGAGGAGCAGGGAGCCCCACACAGGGCTCGATCCCAGGACCCCAGGATCATGACCTGAGCTGAAGGCAGACGCCCAACCGACTGAGCCACCCAAGCGCCCCCTGATTGGCTCTTTTAGAAACCTACCAGAAGTCTTGGGACACCTGGGTGGTTCAGTTGGTTAAGCATCTGCCGTCAGCTCGGGTCATGATCCCACAGTCCTGGGATCGAGGCCCACATCGGGCTCCTTGTCCGTGGGGAGTCTGCTTCTCCCTCTCCCTCTGCCTGCCGCTCCCTCTGCTTGTACTCTCTCTCTCTGTCAAATAAATAAATAAATAAAATCTTAAAAAAAAAAAAAAGAAACCTACCAGAAGTCTTGATTATTTACTCTAAATAGCTGCAGGAAATGTGATTCTGAGTGACAGAGACACAGCTGATAGACATGATAGATACTTCAAAAATATAAGTATTAGGTAAAATGCAGAAGCATACAAGATTTCATAGTCCTCTTGGAGAATAAGAGAGCCTACTGTGAGCTCAGCCCTCTTAGTTCCTGATCAGTGGTCTCCCCTCATTATTACTCATCCTCCTGAAGAGATCATCGTGGCCAGCGCCCAGGGGACAGTGGGGAGCTGTGGGCTCAGAGTGGCCCACCGCTGGCCCAGGGTTTGTATAGGTAAAGGTCTGTCTCAACTTCCAGGTCATGCCTCTTTGTACTAGACTTTATTTATTATCAC